AGAGCATCGTGAGTGGGGCGGGCGGGCGGGCGCGGGCGCCGGGATGAGGCAGCAGATTTGCCGGCGCGGCCTGTGGGAGGCCCCCGCGGCCCGCCTGCCCTCCGCGCTGGGCTCGCTGCGGGGCTGGGCTCCCCGACCTCCCCTCCCTCGGCTCCTCTCGGTCCCGGACTCTCACCCGTGCTGGGAAAGGCGGGCCGGCCTGGGACCGCGGGCTGTGCCTTCTCCGCCGTCTCCCCGCGGCGGGGAGGCTTGCCGGGTGTCGAGTAGGGGGCTCTGTCCTTTCCTCCACCCCCGTGGACCTGTCCTGCCCCCTCAGCCACCCAAGTCAGTGCCCCGTCACGACTCACGAAAGGAGAGCGCTTCCTACAAACGGGGAACTTGCAGACCCTCCCCGCGGGAGGCAGCTGTGCAGAAAGCCGCCCCGGAGCCTGGCCGCATTGCTCCTCGGCGGCGAGGAAAAGTTGGCAGCCTCCTGTCTATAAAAGAAGAACACAAAAGTTGACGTCACTTTTTTCCTGAAAGTAGGACTCGGCACACTTATTTTTTGCCCCTTACGGGGAAAAAAAGTCAGTGAAAATTAGAAAAAACCGGCCATGCGTTTGCTTGTGGAAAGTTTCCCCTCCGAAGTAGACGAGGCAGGAAAGAACGTCCGACCCGCTGGCAGAAGAACTTGAGTTACCCGGAAGGAATATTGGGGTTTCTCGGGGGCAGCAGAGCAGTATTGGGTAGCGGGTGATGTCCAGGCTTCCCCCAAGTGACCGGGGCCTCGGCGGTGTTGCTGGGCGTCCGGAGTGGCCCTGGTGCTCGTGTCTGGCCGCTCCAGCTCTCGAGTTGAAGGCTTTCCTCCAAATGCCTCCACGCGGGGGCCCTGGTGTCGCCTCCATGTTTCCCAGCCTGGGGATGGCCCCCCAGAAGCTTGACTCCTTTTAAAACAAGGTTCAGAATCATTGGTGGCTTGTTCGCCACGTAGGTTAAGAACTAGCCCCCAAATCTGCTTTCGAACTTTTCTCTGTAGTACTTTTAACTTGAGTTAAAGTAAGCACGGACGAGTGCGTTGTTCAGACAAGGCCGTTTTTCTGTTAGTGTGTAAGGCTGGGCTCTTGGCGACAGCGTGGGTTTTGTCCAACTTCTCAGATGGTGAGGGATTCAAACAGATCCTTCTCCTTCAGTTGATTTCGGAAAGTTGTTTGTTTTTTTTTCTCCTGAATTTAGAACACATCTAAAGTTTTCTGTGGGTGAAGCTGATGCTCTTGACCTCACCAATTCTTGGACTCCCCTAACAAGTATTCTGGGCTCATTTTCTAATAAATAGGGTAACGTGAGTTACCGAGAGGCTGCGTGTGCATGTTGTCAGGTCAGCCTCTTGTTTATTTTGTCAGAGGCCGAGCCAGAGCCTCCATCAGTACAGGTTACTTGTTGGGGTTAAATGCTGGGCTCTTCCTGGAAGCCTGCTCCGCCATGCCCTGTCGTAGACGATCAAGTCGAGTGACTTCTTAAGCCCTAGAACTCTTCCTGAAACATGTGAACCTGACCTTTGGCTCCTTAAGGAGTGGAGTGTCATGCTCTTGCTCCCAAGCAAACGGCCAGAGGAACGGTCACAAAAGAGAAACAGAGCCCTTTGCTTCTTAACGTGTCTGTTGGAGACATTTCAGAAACAAATAGGTGAGAGTAGTTTCCTAATGACCATGCTGCAAATTACAAGAATGTTTTTCTAAGTGTTGAATCAAAGTGGGGTGGTACTAGAAATCAAAAGTCAAAAGCATCTGTATTTGTACTCCACACGGATGAGAGAGAAAGTTAACAGGTGTAACTACAAGAAGCAGAAAGGTAGAACATATTGTATGCTCTTAACAATTGGGATTTCGTAAAGGTTACTCAAAAACAAAATCTTAAAAATTGAGAACAATATGGGAGTAAAGCCTTTTCAGTCAAGTGAAAGCTATTAGAAAATGAGAAAGACAGTCAAGCAATTTTAGGGAAATCTAGATTGTGTATTCTTCATTTGTTTGATAAAAGCAGATAATAGATCGAAAGCCATTGTGGGTTTGTCATGTGTCAGTGAAAATCTTTTTTAAAAAAACAACGGCTTGTGATGTTTTTCATCTGCATAGTGTTGTTTTAAATATAGTACACGGTGCAGTAATTGCTGAGAGGAGAAACTACCACATGAGAACTTTCTGGCATATTCCTGTCTGCCTTTCCTCCCACCCTTCAGGTGGTTGGAGCATCGTCTGTCTTGTTGGCGGCAGGGCATGCCGTCTCATGCCCCTTGCACAGTTGGCGTAGTAACTCCTCTTCAGAAGGGCTTTGGTCAGCATAAAGGTCAAGGCCTGGAGAGTGATGCTCTTTGTCCAATGGTTTCAGGCTGCCAGCTGTTTAAGGCTTGCCCTGAAAATATGTTCTTAAAACCCCGCTAAGGTTTTCCACATTGTTAAACACCTTTCTTTTAATCTTTTTATTAAAAAGGAAATAACACAGAAGATTTTTCTCTGATTCTTTTAAATCAGTTTGATGTCTGTATAGGTCCTGGAACAAAGTGAGATGCTTTTTTAGAGAACCCGGTCATTCATGATTCATGGTGAGGATTTTTCTGCCTTTTTTTGGTAAATCTGAATAGAAAAATGTTAGTGTCTCAGGTATACTCTTTTTTTTTTTTTTAAGATTTTTATTGGGGAATTGGGGGAAGGGGAACAGACAAGTTGCTGTCCTTTTGTTCTTCAGTCTAGTTGTGGAGGACGTTGCTTCACTGGCCCAAGTTGGCACCATCATTGCGCTCTTCCCGGGCGAGGCAGATCAGTCGCTGGCTTCTGGACGGCCGCTCACTGCGGCTGCTGGCCGCTCACGCTGGCTGCTGGCTACACATGGTAGCCCATGGCAACTCACTGCAGCAGGGGCTGCAGCCTACGCCATCACTGGCAACTCACGGCAGCCCAGCTCCAGGTTGAGCTGTTGTTCAGCATCTTAGCTGTGGAGGGCAATGTCACTGGCTCTCATGTGGGATCCGAACCCGGGTCCCCTGGCATCCCAAGCCAGCTCTTAACCAACAAGCCACTCGGTCGGCCCTCAGGTATACTGTTTATGAATAACAATTAACAATTGAAGTTGTATTTTTGAGTGAAACAATAGAGTTGAGAATCAGGGAAGTACTCTGGGTATGTCTTTCCAGCTCGTACCTCTACCTTATCTTCTAGAAACTGGTTTGTGCATGAAGGGTGGGGTTTGGCTTTTAAGTTTCAGTGACCCAGGTGCTGAAATCCTACAGATGTTAGTAATGGAAGCAGGGCTTTTGTGGTTTGTGCAGTAACCATCTTGTTTCTTTGACAACAGATAATTCGTGTCCAGTCCCCGGATGGTGTCAAGAGGATCACAGCAACAAAGAGAGAGACAGCTGCAGTGTTTCTGAAAAAGGTACCTGTGGCTTTATTTACCTTTCAGATCTTCGTCCTCCGTTGTTATTGGCTTCCCGCTGTGTCTTTTCTCTTTCTCTTATTTCTTGGCTCCACCCACTCCCAAGTTCAGTCTCTTGCATTGCTTTTTTCTGTCACAACTGCTTGGTTTGATACAGGATCAGATTGTGACAGATGACCACAGCTAACAGTTGTAGGACCAAAGGCCGACATGAATGTAATGGTATTTCACAGGAGTCATATTTATGAGAGTGAAAATCGAATTGTCTATCAAAGGGGAATTGGTAAAAACATGTATGGAATTATTCCACTTTGTCCTAAGAAATCAAAGCCATGTACATCTGTTGTGTGAGCAGCGTATGAGGAGAAAGAGCCCAGCCAGACTTACAGGAGCAGCGCCAGGAGGGCAGGCCTGCAGTCAGGAGAGTGCTCTTGCTCTGTACTTCACATCAGATGGCATCAGACTGGCTCACGGGTTGGCCGTCTGTTTTATGAATAAGATTTTATTGGGACACGGCCACATTCATTGATTTATGTATCTATCGTCTGGCTGCTTTTGAGCTCCAACTGCAGAGTCTAGTAGTTGTGATAGAATGTGGCCTGGAAAGCCAAAATATTTACTGTCTGGCCCTTTATAGAAAAAGTTTGCTAACCTCTACTTTATACATTCTGTATTACTTGAATTTGTTGTAAGCAGGTGTTACCTTTGTAGTGATAAAAAAATACTGTTTTTGGGCCGGCCGAGTGGCTCAGTTGGTTAAGAGCTCGCTCAAGAGTTTGAGCTCTGAGCAACAGTGGTTCAAGTCCCGGCCCGAGCTGAGCAGTCGCTGAGCTGCCAACAGGTGGCAGGATGGCTCAGCTGAAAAAAAACAAAAAAACACTGTTTTTTATTTTTCATAAGCAAAAAAAATTCTAGGGTCATAGACTGCTAGAGCCAGAGGGAATGTTAGGTGTCATTTAGTCTGATCTTATTTTCACAAAGGTAGAAACTGCAGGCCGAGGGAATGAAGAGATTTGCTGAGGAGCACCCTGGGCCTGTGAGCTGTTAGTAAAGCTACACGTATTTGGGAAATTTGGTTTCTAAAAGGTTGTTGCTATCCTGATTTCAACAGCAGTGCTAATAGGGGCATATTTATAAGAAAGGAAAACAGATTAGGTGCAATAGATAACAGAAGGAAATCTCTGAGTTTTCAAGAAATTTTTAAGATTTTATTGGGGAATTGGGGAAGGGAACCAGACAAGTTGCCGTCCTTTTGTTCTTCAGTCTAGTTGTGGAGGACACTGCTTCACTGGCCCAGGTTGGTATTATGATCATTGCGCTCTTTCCAGCTGAGGCAGTCGCTCACTGGCCATTGGATGTCTGCCTACGGCAGCTCACAGCAGCCCAGCTCCAGGTCGAGCTGTTGTTCACCATCTTAGCTGTAGAGGGCGCAGCGTCACTGGCCCATGTGGGAACCAAACCGGTGGCCCTGCAGCTCAGAGCTCTCGCTCCCAAGCCAACTCTTAACCAACTGAGCCACTCGGCTGGCCCCTCAAGAAATTTTTAACATCCTATTCTTTGCTCTTAGTAGCAGCTGACCATTGACAGCTTGCTCCTAGGGATGGTACTAGGATACAGAAAATGCTAGAATTCTTGAGAGGTCATCAAAGACAAAGATTAAGCATTAAGCAGCTATTGCCTAGACAATTATGAGCATAAACACCAGACATAAGAGGACTGCATACAGTTGTTCTTTACTTTTCTGAGGCTTTGTGAGGGGAAATTTTTTAAACTTAAATCTACAGTAACCTTGTAGAGACATGATTTTGTTTCTAACTTGAGGCTTTTGTGCTTGGTATAAAGCGTAGAGTTGTTAAGTTCAGATTGCAGAGGAACCGAAAAACCCAGCATCCAGCTCTGACCTCTTTTCTTTGGCAGTATCCTGGAGGTCCTGGGATCTCCCTCTGCATAGCTTATTGTCATCTTGCTTAGGGAAATGCAGACACGACTGCTGGCCATCGGAAGTGGTTGGGCTCAGGGAGATATAGTTTATTTTGACGGCTTGATTGCTGAAGCCATCGCTTAGGAGCAATATTCTCAGGAATACTAAAAAAAACCAAATGCATTTATTACTCTGAAATGTGGTTCCCCCAAAATGGAAATCCTTTCCTCTGATTATGACAATAGATTAATTATGAAAGGTTCAAACAGTACAGAAAAGTATAAAGAAGCAAGTGAGAATCATTTGAAAGTCTACCACCCAGAAATAACCATGAACATAGCATGTCTTACGTGTGCACTGTGCTTGCTTACACGCATGCCCCTACATATGTACGCATGTGTGTATCAGAAGGGGATCATATTGCACTATTGCTATATTTTATCAGATGTAAAACATTATTTAATTTAAGGAGAAACATTCATGTGCCACTAAGACAAAAAAGTGCTGTCATACCTGCGTTCCCTCGTCATTTAGAATTTTATACTTACATGAACTTTTTTAGACTGATTTGGAAATATTGGGGTTGTCAGAAAAGTCATGACATATTTTTTCTGTTTTTCGTTGCAAAAATGCATCAGGACTTTTCTGACAACCCAATAATTTATTTTAATCACATTATTCTTATGCATCCATAAGAAGGAAAGGCGTAGTGAAATTCATTGGGTAGGATCTCCTTAAAACGTCATTGAGTCCAGCCCTTCTGAACCACTGTTGGACTCAGCTGCCAATGTCCACATCTTATTGCACTTGAAAGACGTCATTCCATTGTCGTCTTGTCCCCATCACATGTGGCTAGCCGTGGGACCACGATGTGCCTGGGCCACTTTTCCTGAACTTCCGGGTTTGTTACTCTTACGTTCTTCATCAAATTTGAGGTTTTGGCCATTCTTTCTTCAAATATTTTTCAGTCCTCTTTCAGTCCATTTCTCCTGAGTATGATTTGACATTGTCCCAGGGGTTCCTAGGGCTCTGCTCATTTTTCTTTCAAGACTCTGTCTTCAGACTGGATAGTTTCTGTTAACCTACCTGTAGGTTAATTGACCTTCTCTTCTGTCAGCTCCCCTCCGCTGATAAGCTCCACCCAGTGAGTTTTCTGTTTCAGTTATTAGATTTTCCACTTGTAGAATTTCCATTTGATTGTTTATCATTTCTGTTTGTCTGCTGAGAGTCCGTCTTCATTTGTTTAACTCTCCTCTGTTGACCCCAAAACGTCCATCTTTAGCTCTGGCCCCTCTCCTGGCCCCAGACTCAAATACTAGTGGCCTGCCCGACACCCTCCCTGGGGTGTTGGAGAATCCCCTCGAATCTCAGAGTCCAATGGAAGGTCTGATTTTACTTCAGTCTCCTTCCTTCAGTCTCTCTCATGGTTGCCTTACAGGAGTCACTTGAGAATAGGTGTCCACCTAGTTCTTAAGCCAGACGTCAGAAGACCACTCTGATGTCCTTCCTTCCCTCACTCCATTCTACCCCCTCATCCTGCCCATTATCAAGGGCTGTTGATGATAATAACTGCAAGGTGTGTTCCTCCCTCTGCTCCACTGGCGTGGCCTCATCCAAGCCCCCGTGTCCCCAGGGCTGGGCTCAACAACTGGCCCTCCTGCTTCCTCGTCCGACCTGCAGCAGGGCAGTGATGAGAAATGGGACCGCGGCTGCCTGGGCTGGAAGGCAGACTCCCCACAGCCCCTGTGGTCCTGTGTGCTGGCTGTCCACCTCTCCAGTCTCGTCTCGTCCTGATTCCTGCCTGCCCGTTGGGCTCTGGCCTCACTGGCCTCCGTCTCCACAAGTCCTTCCTTGTCTCCAGGCCTTTGTGCCTGCTCCTCCCGCCTGTGTGTCCTCCTGCAGCTCTGCCCTGGCAGCCTCACCTCCTCAGGCCTCTGCTCACATGGGCTCCTCGGAGGGGCCGCCTCTGTCCACCGCCTGGAGGGCCACTCCGTGTGGCTCTCTTCCTTTCCTGCCATGGAGCTGGTCTCAGCCTGTGCTTTTCGTCTTCGTCGACTTTGTCCCCCGTTTGACAGTGAGATCCTCGATGGCAGGGCCCTGGTCTGTTTTCTTTCACTGTTGTTCTGAGCACCAGAGTGGAGTCAGCACGCAGGGCTGCTTCTGTGTGTGGAGCGGATGAATGAGTGTGCCCGGCGCCTGGCACAGCGCCTACTCATGCCTGACTTTGGGGCATATTTCAGCGCTTCAGTCCTCTTCTATTAGATTTCAGAATTGGATTTGGGTTTTTACAATTGATTTCAAAAGTAGAAATGAAACTTTCCAGATATGGCCATGACTCTTGCTTGCTTCAAACTCCTAAATATGTCACACAGTCTTATTTTTACAAAGCTCTGCTTATTTTTGGACATTTTTCTCATTTTACTTGACATCCGCATAAGCAGTACCAATTTCCTCACAAGAAAGGAAATAATGAGAGATTTGGTAAATGAGCAGTTTCTAAATTGAGTGAGTGTTCTAGTCACGTCTGATGTGTATGTGGTCAGAGTGTTGACATGTAAATATTTTGCTAAATCTCTGCTGTTTGGGGCTTGTTTCAGGTTGCAAAGGAGTTTGGCTTCCAGAATAATGGCTTCTCAGTTTACATCAATAGAAACAAGACTGGAGAGATAACAGCATCATCCACCAAGTCCCTCAACCTGCTCAAAATCAAGTAAGTGCCCACTGGGGAGGGAACGGGGTTGGGGGTGGGAAATGGTGACACCAGTTACGTACCAAGGTTGATCTGTTCTTCACGCCTGCCTCCTCCTCGTGCCCCTCTAATGATGGTCCTCTTTACTGACCGAAATGCAGGTGGTCATACTCTTGCCAGGTGGTCAGCAGTCACACCGAATCTGTGGTCACTGTCAAGCCGGTCTGATGGACTTGCAGAATTCTAAGATGTGTGTCACTGAGGAGAACGTGATGGCCCCAGGCCGTGTGTGCAGCTGTACCCTCAGGTGCTGCTCTGTAAAGAAGGACCTTGACCGAGCTCTGTGTGGAGTTCTGCCTTGGGGCCTGTGTGGTGGGTCAGTCAGAGGGTCGGCAGTGCCCATGCCACATTTCTTGCTGGCAGGACCCCCTAGAGTGCCTTAGAGTTGATCATTGATGTTGGGGGCGGTTTCTAGAATGCAGAGACCTTTTACTGCTGCCCACTGCCTGTTTTTGTAAGTGGAATGCAGCCACATCTATTCACGTCGCTCCAGGCTCCTTCCTGCTGCTCGCTCTGCTTCAAACTGGCTCCGGGCTTCCAGCAGAGACACTGGGTTCTTTGGGGGCTCTGCCTCAGCCTGTCACACACACCGTGCTTCTCTCTTAGGTCCCGTGATGTCTGCGGTCTGTCTCGCTGCATGTATTCAGGATTCATGAGGATCCTGTCGCACTGCTGCCAGTGTCTGTGGGCTTAACTGTTGTCAAGCCGTTCACGTGGGGGCACTTGGGAAGAGCCACCGAACCCGGCCCTTGCTGTCCCTCATCTCACAGCCCCACCTGGTCACCTGGGATGGTCTCTTGTTGCTTGCACTTTTCCCACTCCATTTTCATTTGCTGTAAACTTACTCTATAAGTGTATACCCTGTATCCGTAATTCCGAATCTGAAGTCCTTGGCTGTCTAAATCTTTTTCCTGTCGTCTCTGCCCACCCTTGCTCGTGGTGGCTTATTTCTCTTGTACATTTGGTGACCTTTTCTTGAGAGCTTGTACTAGACCAAACTTGGTCTTGGGGAGTCCTGAAGAGCCCCTGGGTAGTGGGTTTTCTACCATGGGCTTGCATTGGCTTCTGTTGGCACAAGGGGGCGCTGTGGGCCCAGCACTCCAACACCACTTCTGTCTTTGGCCTTCCCTAACCAAGTGATATCCCGATTCCACCCTGGACACCTGCTGGCATAGCGGACTCAGGGCCTTCCTTCTTCCTGTGAAGTGGCTGGAAGCAGACAGGATTCCTGTTTGCTGCCTGTTTTGAGTGGATGGACTTTTCCCCATTTGTTGAGACATCCTTAGACACTTTGGCTTCATGAGAGTTTCAGGCCCAGCAGCCCACTTTGGGCAGGCAGGCTCAAGGCCTTGTCTTCGCTGCCCAGAGAACAAGTGCGTGACCCAAGCCCAGAATTCCTGTAGTGGGCATTCCAGGGGCAGCTCTGAGCTGTGTTCCCTGCTGCTCTTGTTTGAGCTACTCTCAGTTTCTTGGACCCTTTGGGGACTATGCACTTTCTTTAGAGCTCAGCAGTGCATCTTAGAGTATATTTGTTAAAACTCACGTAGCAGTTGAGCCCAGTATTTTTTTTTAAAGATTTTTATTGGGGAATTGGGGAGATGGGAACAGTGCTGGGGAATTGGGGGAAGGGGAACAGACAAATTGCTGTCGTTTTGTTCTTCAGTCTAGTTGTGGAGGGCGTTGCTTCACTGGCCCAAGTTGGCACCATCATTGCGCTCTTCCTGGCGAGGCAGATCAGTCGCCGGCTTCTGGACGGCCGCTCACTGCGGCTGCTGGCCGCTCACGCTGGCTGCTGGCTACATACGGTACCCATGGCAACCCACTGCCACAGGGACTGCAGCCTACGCCGTCGCCAGCGACTCACGGCAGCCCAGCTCCAGGTTGAGCTGTTGTTCAGCATCTTAGCTGTGGAGGGCAGTGTCACTGGCCCTCATATGTGGGATCCGAACCAAGGCCCTCTGGCATCCCAAGCGAGTTCTTAACCATTGCGCCACTCGGCCGGCCCCGAGCCCAGTATTCCATAGCTGGACGGTGTTTAGGAATATCTAAGCTGCTGTTAGAAATGGAGGCCTCCAATTACCATTGGCAGTTTCATCGCCGCTAAGTGTTGGAAGGAAAAAGTGCATGATGTGCTGAAGAGCTAAGGCCAGCCCCTGTGATGTGCTCTCAGCTCTGCCCCTTGTGCTTCTCTAGCTTGTGGGTGTAGTGCTGTAGCAGGGTGTTCTTCCATTTATTCTCTTTTTCCTGTGTGAGTATCTTGTAGACAACAGCTAAATTTTTCCTCCAAGACTGGTGTTGATTTTTAGTGTTACAAACCATCTCTGGCCACACAGGGACCCACAGTGCTGCTGTAAGCTGCCCATTGTGGCTGTGGGAATCAGGTCCACAACCCACTAGCAGTGGGAGTCTAATCAAGGGAGGGCTGCAGTTGACATTGAAAGTGATAGAAAACCGGGCCGGCCGAGTGGCGCGTTGGTTAGGAGTTGGCTTGGAACGCCAGCTCTGAGCAGCAGGGCCCTGGTTCGAATCCCACTTGAGGGCCAGGGACGCTGCACTCTCTACAGCTAAGATGGTGAACAACAGCTTGACCTGGAGCTGGGCTGCCGTGAGTCCCCGGCGATGGCGTAGGGTGCAGTGGGACTGGCCGGCAGCGGGCATGTGCTTTTGTGAGCTGCCGTGAGCTGCTGTCCAATGGCTGGTGGGCGACTGCCTCAGCTGGGAAGAGCACAATGATAATACCAACATGGGCAAGTGAAGCGACGTCCTCCACAACTAGACTGAAGAACAAAAGGACGGCAACTTGTCTGTTCCCCTTCCCCGATTTCCCAATGCTGTTCCCCTCCCCCAATTCCCCAATTCCCCAATAAATCTTTAAAAAAAAGAAAAGGTGATAGAAAACCAAAGACTGCTGTTTGAAATGTGAATTGTGGCAGCCTTTTTGTAAGCAGTACGTCAGCGGCTTTAAAAACAAAGAGAAGCCCTTCTGCCCAGCAGGGCCACGACCCTGCAGAAGGAAAGCTGTGTGACTGCCTGTCTTTGGGAATTTCCTTAAGTGTAATTCCTGGTGGCAGGAAGCCACAGAGGCACATGTGCCCGTCACTGTGGGAGTGGCAGAGCACATCATGAGGCGGCTTCACTGGGGACATCGTGTGGCCTTTAAAAGTGACGATTAGACATGGACTGTATTTGGAGAGATTTCATGAGGAATTGTTGCACGAGAAAAGCAAGTGCAAAAAAGTGTGTCTTTGATAATCTCATTTTTGTCAAGCAGTGGCATACATGTCTGTGTACACGTGTGGGCGCGTGTGCGTGAACTTAGAGAAAGAAACGGGCAGATGAAATGTCAGGGGAGCTGAATAGAGGGCTGGCTGAGGAGCGAGCAAAGGAAAGCGGGGGCCAAGCAAAGCGTGAAAGCGGGGGAGACACCGCCTAGAGACCCAGTCTGTATGTTGTGATTGTACAGCGGACCCTTGGACAGGCGGCCTGAACTGCGTGGGCCCACTTATACATGGACATTTTTCAATATATATAAATATACAGTTGGATTCAACCAACTGTGGATCGAAAACAGCATTTTCCATCCACAGTTAGAGTCTGTGGATGCAGAGGGCCGACTGCACTATCTACGCCACTTCATAAAAGGGGCTTGAGCATCCTCAGGTTTGGGTATCCGCGGGGGGTCCTGGAACCAGTTCCCCTCAGATAGGGAGGGCGATTGTAGTTAAGGTTTTGGGGAGTCAAAAGTTACATGCAGATTTCTGACTGCATGGGCGTTGGCACCTCTAACCCCTGTGGTGTCCAAGGGTCAACGGTATATCATTTGTGTGAAACCAGATAGTGATATGGATGTGTCTCATAAGTGCTAAAATGCAGTCGTAAAATAAGTTAAATTACAGTTACAGAGCTCCTGCCGCTGACCTTGCAGTGCTGAGAAGCACGGGAGAGATGTGGGGAAAACAGGTCTCCTAAAAGTGGACACCTCACTACCTAGGCTTTTGGGATGGGTGGCATTTGCTTTTTGCAGATGTCAGAGATTCTCATGCAAGTTGGTCTTTGTGCAGCTCAGGTTGTAGAAGAAAGGAAGGCAGGCCGTGACTCACGTGTGTCCTCTGAACAGGCATGGCGACCTCTTGTTCCTGTTCCCCTCGAGCCTTGCCGGACCCTCATCTGAGATGGAGACGTCCGCCCCCCCGGGGTTAAAGGCCCTGGGTGCCCCCAGTGTGGTGGAGGATGAGATTGACCAGTACCTCAGCAGGCAGGATGGCAAGATTTACCGGAGCCGCGACCCGCAGCTGTAAGTGCCCCGGGGCTCCGGCCCACTGAGGTGCCCTCAGACTCATAAAGGGAGTGTGCACACCACCTGTTGTATGAAGTACCTGATGAAAAAAACGTAGGTTTGAGTTTGACCATCTGTTTGCGCATTAACTGTCACTCCAGGTTAGTTTGTCCCCTTTTCTCATTGTTTGGATCTCAGTGTATCCCACATGGACTTTTAAAGTTTTCAAGTGTTTGGAACTAAGATTTGAAAGAAGCGGGGGGTCCTTAAGCCGAGCCTCTGCCATAATGTACCCTGGAGATACTTGACTGCCACGTGGCAGAAGGGACTTTAGGAAGTGGGACGGGCAAGCGGAGGGAGCAGTGGAGGGGTGACACTTGGGGTTCCTGCCAGTGCAAGGTTCTCGTTCGTGGTAACGCGTTTAGTGGTAGTGGAGCAGTGTCAGCACCACGTGCACGCACGTGTTTTGCATTCTCCTGCACGTGGTGTTTGCCGAAGGCGGTGCCCTTGGAATAAGCACAGGCCACAGTGCAAAGCTGTGAGGACATGGCACATGGAGAGGCACATTGTCCCCCAGGATCGTGTAAATGCACGTGTCGTTTGCTTAAGCTGTGCCCTTGAATGTTCACTTCTCACCCGGGTCGTATACATGCCGGTGCATGTGTGCACTGCTTAGGTTTTTGCAATTCTTTTTAAGGAAACCAGTTAGGAACATCTGAGTTTACACTTGGGGGTGTGGAGTTTTCTGAGTGAAGGTTGCTTGTCTGCAGTGCAGTCTTTGTGACTGCGTCACTCCATGAGCATGATGGGTGCTGACACTGAGGTATGGAGATCCCAGGTGCCGTATTGGCAGCTTGTCTGTCTTGCATTAAAGAGCCCAAGTGGTGTTCAGCTGCTGTTGGCATGGAGCCATCAGCCTGCATGCTGCTTCCATTTGCATTTCCTCCCAGCCCCGCCCCTCCGTCTGTGTCTTTGAAGCTTCATTAGGAATCTTTTAGAGGGTGCTTGTGTGCGTGTGGTGTGTGCGTGCTGACCTGTCATCTGAGCCATAACAGTCGTCTGCCTATCAGGAGAGTTGGGCCATCTCTATTCAGAAATGTAGCGCTCACGTGCATCTGAGAGTCTGACCTCGTTTAGAAAGAGACCTGATTGCGCCCAGAGGGACCGCCACTTGGCTTTCCCATCAACGCTTCACTGGCCTCATCACCTGAGCACAGCCTCCACTGTTGTGTCATGTGTGTGGATCTTCCAAGGTTTCTGTGACTGAATGATGGAAACCAACCCACAGAGCCAAGCACCGTGTATATGCTTTTTGCCAAAATGTGCCTGAAGTGGCTATTTTCTAAACTTGAGTTATTTACGTATCACTCTCAGGGTTTTTGCTATATCCCTGGATCACCTTTCTTAGTATTTGCTTAACATTTTAATTTAAATCAACTTTAAATCCACTCACTTTGTTTTTAGTTAGTGTCATTTTAAGCAGTTAGTATCCACAAAATCACCAGTTTGAAGTGCTGCTGAGCTTTTCCGATTACAGATCAAAATGACATTGTGAAAGCATTCCCCGTGTACCATGGGAAGTGACTCACCTGGGAAGGGAAGCACTTTACTATGGATGGTGTACATGGAAATAGCAGTGGTGGGAGGCAGCATGGAAAGGCAGGCACGCTAACTGCTCTGCTTTCTCTTGCCCTGTGCTCTTCTCAGATGCCGACACGGCCCTTTGGGGAAATGTGTGCACTGTGTTCCTCTAGAGGTGAGTCTGGGGAGCAAGTTCCTGGCAGGCGTGATGGCTGCCTCCCCGAGCCGTGGAAACACTTGAAGCCCCTGCCCTTGGCCGTGGTGGTTGGGAGACCTTCCTGTTAATCATTGTCCTGGGCCTCGTAGTCCCACTGGTGCCTGCTGCACAGAGGACAAGCTTTATTTATGGGAGTGACCTTCCGGTGGGCTGGGGTAGCTGAAGCATTTCTCCTGCTCTGACAGAGAGGCCGCGTTTGCAGTGGGCTCCCTAACAATCCTTTCAAAGCCTGACACGAGCTGGCCTGGTGGTCGTGCTCATCACTGTTTTGATTTACGTCGCCTGGAATCTCACGTCTCCTCCGTTAGTTCGTCCTGATGAGACCGAGAGCCAGCATAATAGTGCTGACTACGACTGGGTAGCGCTGGCTTCACAGCAGCAAGGCCACCCAATTTCCTCCATGAGGCTCCTTTTCATCTGGTGACTTTTTATTTTTTTTATTTATTTTCTTTTTCAAAATTGTCCTCATATTTACTTGACTTAGTGCATTTTACATTTAATAGAAATTCATTTCATCTTGCAAAGGTAACTGGTACACAAAGAAAAAGTGCTTCTGATGTAGAACAGGAGAGACCTAAGCCCTGTCCTCCCTCGTCGCCCTCAGTAGGGCTTGGCTCTGCCCCTGTGCCTGCCTCTGCGTGCCCTATGACCCCAGCAGGTATGTGACCTACTGATTATGTGTTGGCAGCCATTCGATGAGGACTACCTAAACCATCTCGAACCACCCGTGAAGCACATGTCTTTCCACGCCTACATCCGAAAGCTGACCGGAGGGGCCGACAAGTAAGCACCTGAGCGCGGCCAGGCCACACCACTGTGGCCTTGACGCCCAGTTTGTTTTGTGAATCTGGCTGGTGTTGCTGAAAACCACTGGGCATCTGAATGAGAAACATAAAGATTAGGGTCTAGGCACGAAGTGTTTGAACTCATGACTTTGCCCTGATTGTAGGAAAGAAACAGGTGGTGCAGACTCTGATGGCCTGCTGTAATCCACAGTGCCTCTAGTGCTGGGCAGCTGCCAGGCTGGTTATGGCCACCGTGGAGGCCCCTGGGGGACCTCACTGACACTCCTGGCAACTTAGTTGTGTGTGAAGGTGGGTGAGATAAGGTGTGATGGTGGATAGTTGTGTCTGTGGAGTCTCACCTTTTCCTCTGCTCTTTGGGCAAACTGAACCACATGTCGGACAGCCCCTGGCAGCCCCTGGCCCGGTGGCCTTGTGGTGCCTCCGCAGCTGCTGTCTGCGGGCTCAGCCTGCCAGGCACTTGGGGGAGGCAGGGTGGGCAGTGGGGCTGCTGGCTTTCCTTGAGTGGGGGCTGTGACAGCGGCCAGAGAGGGACACACACAGTATTTTGATTTATTTTAAACCACATCAGGCACTAGCCTGTGTGACCCCTTCTGGTGCCCGTGTGCTCACCTCACCAGAAAATAACGGACTCCATACTGTGATTTTATAACTGCTGTTAGTGCAGCCAGAGGAGATGCTGGCTGAACCGGAGTCAGCAACATTCGGTGAAGAATGCCATGTTGGCCTGATTGTAGTTTTTCTCTGACAACTCGCTGACATCCTAAAATGACTTTTTAAACAAGTTAGACCAGGAGAAAAAAGTCCCACCAGAAACCCACTGTTGCCTGTCATTGGGAAAGCTATGGAGCTTTCTGGACAAGGCAGTGAGGAGAGGCTTGTTGTGCTAAAATCCTCCAGCCTTTCATCAGTTTCGGTCAAGGGCCATGGTCTCCAGTGGGGGCACATTTGTAGCTGTCATTAACATGAGGACGTGGTGGCAGTCATTGCTCCCAGGGGCAATCAGACCAGCAGTGGCTGTGAAGATGACATAGAATTTTTTGGACCATTTTGTGAACGGAAAACGGGCAGAGGGTGGAGTCAGTTGTGCAGCTTCACCCCAGGTTTAGGGTGGGGCCCAGGACTTCCTTATAACCGCAGTCTCCTAACTAGAGTTTTATTTTGGCCAACAGGAGAGTGAAGCTATCGTTGTTGTATATCCGAATCAGGTTTTTCCTGCAAAGAAGAGTTTTTTACAAACAACCTAAGAATGAGACTCAATTAATGTAACTTAAAAAGAACTCTTTGTTTCCCCTCAGTGGTGCAGGTTAGGTCAGTAGATATTCAACAGTATTCTTGAAAATCTTTGTGGATGTGAGTGACAGATGGTGGAAATGAAAACCGTTTTCATAGGAGAGTAGTTCTGCCTCCCTGTGCAGGATGGAAGCTGCGCCCACTGAAGAGTTCTAGCACATTTCCCTGCTGCTGCCGCCTCGTGCTCAGCCTCGTGCTCAGCTCCGTAGGGCTCTGTCCAGAGGTGTCAGACATCAGGATGTTATTTCCAGTCTCCTGCTCAGCTTTTCTCCACCGTAAGGTTTAATTAAGTTGCCTCCTCTTACTCAGGGGGAAGTTCGTTGCTCTGGAGAACATCAGTTGCAAGATTAAATCAGGGTGCGAGGGGCATCTTCCATGGCCTAACGGCATCTGTACGAAGTGCCAGCCAAGCGCCATCACCCTGAACAGACAGGTGAGCTGCTCACTGTGCCCGTCCAGACTATGGGGGGGCGGGTTTGCCTTCATGGCTGAGAAAGGAGCGCTTCCTTGGCGAGCAGCTGCCCTAGCAGAGTGGCACACGTGGCACACTCACTCCTTGGTGACCAGTGACCCTTGTGGAACTCATACACTGCAGACATTATTTGTAAGACTTGCAGCTTGCCGGACAAGCATGAGGAGGGGCTTCGGTTCGCTGTTCTGTTGGCTGTGTGGAGGCAGAATTGTCCTGGTGACTGTTTAAAATGCTCAGCGGTTGTGACTTTGCCTTTTAAGAAACCGTGGCCCTGGAAGCTGGTAACAGACCTGTGCTGGGACCAGCTCAGGGCACCCCGCCAGGCCAGGGAGGAAGGGAGCTGAGCTGGGCTGAAGGAGGAGGCAGAGAACCAGCGAAAATTGCATGCGGTTAGGCTGCCTTTCCCTTGGAGAGTGGCCGCCTCACCTACCCCTGCCTTGCCCCCGCCCCTCCCCGTCTGCCCTCTGCCCCCACAGGCCCACATGCTGTGGCTTGACTGTTTGGAGCCCTTTCTTCCTTTTCTTCCTTTCCCTCCCTCCACCCAGCTCTTTGTTGTCCTCTCCCTCTTTTTGAAAACTATTCTTTCCCCTAGAGATTCTGAAAACCTCTATTTTAGGTGAAATCCCAATAAGATTAATTTGAATTAATTTCTTTTGTTTTTTTTTTTTTTAAAGATTTTATTGGGGAATTGGGGAAGGGGAACAGTGTTGGGGAGTCAGGGAAGGGGAACAGCCAAGTTGTTGTCCTTCAATCTTAGTTGTGGAGGGCTCAGCTAGATCAGCTCCAAGTCCAGTCGCCATCCGGCTGCCTGTCGGCAGAAGCTGCTGCAGAGCTCAGGCTGCTGGTTCAGTCTTAGTTGCAGGTAGGCATAGCCCACCATCCCATGCGGGAGTCAAACTGGAAACCTTGTTGCTGAGAGCGCACGATCTAACCACTGAGCCATCCAGCTGCCTGTCAGCAGCTCAGCAGCAGCTCAGCTCCGGCGCAGCTCACTGGCACATGTGGGAATCGAACCGGCAGCCCTTTAGCTCAGACCTCGCGCTCTTAACCAACTGAGCCACTCGGCCGGTCCCTTGAATTAATGTCTTGAGGAACCCCACTCCTATACTGCCTACCCACTAGAATCTGAAGTAGATTTAAGGGCAGAGCATGGTCTTAAAATGTGCACGTGCATATGTTTTTTTTTTTAAAGAGCCAAGTAAAAACTATTTATGAATGGTTTGTACTAGAAAAAAATTATTTACTTTTGATGAATGTTTGTATTTAGCCCATTGTTGTTAACTCGACAGAAATACAGACACGTGGACAACATCATGTTTGAGAATCACACAGTTGCTGATCGCTTCCTTGACTTCTGGAGGAAGACAGGGAACCAGCATTTCGGGTACTTGTACGGACGGTACACTGAGCACAAAGACATTCCTCTGGGCATCAGGGCCGAAGTAGCGGCCATTTACGAGCCCCCGCAGGTAGGGCTGCCGCTCACGGGCCTGTCCGCGTTGCTGTGTTTGAAGGCTGTGAGGCCCTTGCCGACAGCGTGCTTCTGCTTTAGCATCGGCCCAGTCTGTCTTGTCTGTCTGTCCCAGCACACACGCACACAATACTTGTTTTCTGAGTTATTGGAGAGTAACATGGCCGCTAAATGTTCCGGTGTGTATTTCCAAAGAATAGGCATTCTCTTACATAATGTTGATCAGATTAAGTAAATTGAACATCGATACAGTATTTTTATCTAACCTGCCATCTGTGTTCCACTCTTGTCAATTGCCCCCAAAGTGTCACACAATTGCTCCCTCTCTCCTCAGTTCTGTGTCTCGTCTGCCCATGCCTGCTGTTAGCTATCACAGGAATGATGGAATTAAGAGACTCACAGAATTACTCCATTCTGTGTGTCTCAACTGTGTCAGAATAACACCACCAAATGCCTGTACAGGACTGAAAACAGCTGAAGATTATTTTGGTGGTGGGAGGAGAGTCCTTAGGGTACATCCCACAAGGGGCCAGCAGTCTGTTACTGTGTTTTAAAGTCGCGTGGAAGGTCCTTTCTCTGTGATTACAAAGTACCAGCTAGTTACACATTTGCTTTATAATATTTTCAATATTTAGGGATTGGTTTTATATACTGTGAACACGTTGGATTCTAGTTGATGATGAGCATACTGTCATGGGGGGGGTGCACTCATGTCTGCACTTAACTGTGGATGGAACAAAAATAAGACGGGCTGGGGGGCGACTAGGGGACGGGAGGACGTGGAGGTGCTGATGGCTGGTCCAGGCACGGGGTACCTGGGGTTTCACTGTAAAGTTCTTTAGTCTGCTGTATGTTTAAAATTGTTTATAAAAGTTGAAAAGAAAAAAATTTGCACATTTCTAAAGTCACATCTACAAACAAGGTATTTGGTCCTCATCCTGTTTCCTCCCTTCCCCTACAGGTAAGTCCACCTGTAGAAACTTCTGGTTTAGACTTCTAAAGTTTCATTTTTTTAATATGAGTAGATACAGATACCCATACTGTCCCGTCCTGGCTGTGTTTGGGTTCGTACTGTACCGTACACACCTTTGCCACCTATCTGTTCTAGACAGCATGCTGTGACTGGCCTACTCTGTAAATAAACCGGGGTCTGAAACTGCAGGCTTGTGGCCTCCGGCATCAGTGCCCGTGTCCTCCCTGGCTATGTTTACAGATTTTGAGTAGCCTTACTCCTCTGACATTTCCCGTGTTTACTGAGAGCTACGATGGGTGGGTAGGTGGATGGATGGATGGATAGGATAGATGGATGGGGTGCTTGCAGAGGCCCTTGTGACAATTCACTTACAAGGAGACATTAGGTGCCAGTAGACACCCACCAGAGGGGGCCAGGCTCTCTGACCCTAGGGCACAAGTGTACTGCAGTCAGGGGGGGCTCCTTGTGGAAGCACAAGGTGCTCACGTTCAGTTTTCACTAGGGAGTCACTTTCATGAAGAGTTTCAGCTGTTACAAGTGTGACTGAACAGATGCCTCTGGTGTCCAAACTAACAGCATCATCAGAGCTCCTAGTTTGGGGGTCCTGGAGGTTGAAACAATTGACCTGTGAAAACCTGTAGCTCATTAGCAATCAAAGCTCATGCTGGCACATGTTGTGAAACGAGGTCCTCCCGTTTGTCCTGAGTTGGGGATTTGACCTCTGCTCTGGAGGTATTAATGCTCTCCAGATGAGTGATACCAGCAACATCCAGTTCTTCCGTTTTGCGAGAATTTGACTAATTTATAAGAATAGATCCAGTTAGGAAGTGCGGTTTGGGCTCACCTTCCCTGTCCTGTTTCTGGGCCGGGGCTTCCGCTCAGCAGGGTGCTTCTCATGGTGACCCACGATCTGATTTCAGTGCAGATTAGAGATAGTGGCGAGCGTTGTCCACGCAGGCATTCAGGCTGCATGTGAGCCCCCAGAGCCTAAGCCCACTTGCCTCCCTGAGCGGAGCGCGCTGCCCACCAAGCCGCTGGTTCCCGACTGCAGGTGCCTTTCTGTTTGCTGAGTGCGGGTGTGTCTGCCGCGTCTCACTCGGTACCTGGCCTGTACCTGGCCTGTGAAGCCGAGCGCTGTGCCTGCAGGAGCTGCACACGCGTTTACCACGGCTCTTTTTGGGACGCATCTTGCCCAGTCTCGCCAAATCTATCTGGAATGAAACTGTCCAAGGAAGCTTTGAAACTAACTTCTTTCCCCAACAAAGAAACCTTAAAAAAACGTGTAGAGACCCTGCCGTCCTGAACAACCCACACTTGATACGGAACTGACAGGACAGCCTGAGGACCGCATCTCCGTGTGCTCTCTGAGTCTTGATTCAAAGCGCGGTGCAGCCTGAGAAGGGGAGAGCCCCGAGGGGGCTGCTGTGCTTCATCTGCTTGCCTTGAGCTTTTTCTGCTTCCGTCACTCTCCCTTTTGGCCGAGGGAGACCAGCTCCTCTGTGACATCTGAGCCAGAATGGAGCAGAGCAGCTGTGCTGCTTCCCTGAGCCCACTCCTCTAACTCTGTTTCTCCCTTTGCCGGCCTGACAGATTGGTACACAGAACAGCTTGGAGCTTCTTGAAGACCCGAAAGCCGAGGTGGTGGATGAAATCGCTGCCAAGCTTGGCCTGAGGAAGGTACTGAGGCCTGTGAGGGGGCCCTGGGCTCTGTTGGGGATGTGCAGGTGGACGGCATGGCGAGGCCTCATCTGGGGCCGAGCTCTGAGCTGTACAAGGTCGGGTGCAGGCCAGCACGCTTTGAAGCCTCGTTTGTGTTTATTGGATGCTATTAGCTTTTATGTTTCTCCGATTTAAAGTAAACTGAGAACATTTCCCTGAGCATAAAAAGAATGATCCCAACGCAGGGGCTGTTCACTTAAAAATCTGCCAACCACACTTCTTGGGGACTACTTCAGAGGGGAGGGAAGAAGTAGCGGGAGCCAGACCCCTTCTTCCTGCCCGCTTGGGGACCTCGACGCCAGGCTGTGTGTCCTGCCCGCCCCGCTGGGGCAGAGCCCTAGGTGTGAGCTCTTCCTTTGTGCACCTTTGCCGCCAGTAGCCAAGGCCCGTTCACAGTGTTCGTTTTCTGCCCGTGCGCTTGAAGCTTCTGGATTCCCTCTTCAGTCACTGAGTTTTCCTGTTTACAGTTTAGGCGTCTGAGCATGTAAGCCTTCCAAGTCTTACTGGCGGTTAGAGGGCAGGGAAGAATTCTTCTGAGTCTGTTGATCTACTTTATCTCACATCCTTGGTAAAGTTCCCAGAAGCTTCAGAGATGGGTTTTTACAAGCACATGTTGAACTGGGAATTTGAACACATCTTAGAAGTTCACTATTATAGCCATGTGAGTTTTATCCTTTACTTCCTAATCAGCTTAGACAGTGAAAACTAAATTCCCTACAGATAGACGGCGCAAACTGGAAATGTACTTAACAACCTCGGAATGTCACAGAACAAAGTCACTATACCATCATAAGAAAACGTTTTAAGGAAAAAAATGTCCTTTTATTTTTAACAAAGAGTCCGCATCTTGAGTTAGGGTCATATTCCTGTTTAAAATCTGTAAGTTTCTCTTGTTCAGAAGAGAAATCGGTATAGTTTTTTTGTGTGTGTTACAAACGCATAGTTCATGGTCCTCGTGACAATGATACAAGAGCTTAAGGGTACGTCAGTGTCCGTCCCCAAAACACTGGTTCCTTAGCCCTCACCCATCTCAGGTTGGTTTTGGTTCTGCCTTGTTTACTGCTTACTTACATTGGTCATGTATCCTTTAAGTCTCGTTTTCTTCATTGCCATCCTCCTTGTGGCTTTCGTTCATTGGGGCATTTTAAGGAAAATGAAAGTCTCCAAAGTTGTTTGGCCATGTGTGCAGGAGATGGATCTGAAGAGCTCTGTGTCGGTTGTACTGGAGAGTGTCCCGGGCACCAGGTCACGTCTCCAAGGAACAGAAGTGGGGTGTGTGCCTGGATTCCAGCCCCACTTGTAAACCTCCCAGCTAGGAGGCTCGTGGCCACGGGAGGGTCAGGGTCACAGAGCACAGACAGGCACTGTACTGCAGCAGGGTACACAGGGAAAGCTGGCTGTGCTCCGAGCTCGGGAGACTGGCGTGAGGGTGCCCTGGTGACGGGGGCCTCACATCCTATACTCTTAGGTGCTTCCTTCAGCCCCGCTTCGGTGCTCAAAGGAGCAGCTAGGCCAAGTCCCTGAGGCATGTTCCGTCTCTAGGAAGCTAGTTTTCTCCTTTCTCAGAGAAAGCCCAGCACCTGGCACGTCGCCTTTGTGTACTTGCTCTTGTCCATCCTCTTCTTCGCATCGAGTGTTCCCTGTGCTCCAGCATTCTGTTCACTGTGTCGGCCCCGGGCGGGCCCGCCCCTGGCACAGTGCTGGGCATGGCCTTCCCCCCCGGCCAGTCGGTGAACTTCGCTCGTTTGCCCTCCTCTCCAACCCGGCATCACCACAGGGTGGTCAGTTGCCCCTGAGCAGCCTCTGGAAGCTCTGGTGTGGCCTGGTAGCTTAGCTGAGGGGCCGACTCACCTAGAAGGAGAGAGCTGGCTCTCAGGAGTCTCTCACTGAGAACAGTGTTCTTCAGCTTCTCTGGGCAGAAAACATTCATCACCCGGTTCAGGAGGAGACTCAGGACAATTTCCTTTGTTGTGCAGGTCGGCTGGATATTCACAGACCTCGTCTCGGAAGACACCCGGAAGGGGACAGTCCGATACAGTCGGAATAAGGTGAGGTGGGCGGGAGTGCTCGCCGAGCCTGCACCACGCCTCCAGTGAGCCCTGGCTCATGCGCTCAGGGGCTCTGCACAGCTCATTCTGGCTTTGAGACCAAAGTATTTTCAGCACAGTGTTCCTGACACAGTAAGGCTGGGTCTGGGGTTCTGCCTCATAGAGCAGAGCCCACCCGACCTTGTACACCAGGCCAGCCGTGGGGCTGCTTGCCCAGTGCTTCTGGCCTTATAGTGGCTTTGCATGAGGGTTGCAGCGGCTGGAATTACAGGTATTTTCATCGTAGTTCCTGACGTGTTGTAGTTTACTCCTTTGTATCGTCTAAAGAAGGAACAGAATCATGTTTTGACATGATGCTGTAAAACGTGATATGCTGGTTCTCTTTCCTTAGGACACCTATTTCCTGAGTGCAGAAGAATGTATCACTGCAGGAGACTTCCAGAATAAGCATCCCAACATATGTCGGCTCTCTCCAGACGGACACTTTGGATCCAAGTTTGTCACTGCAGTGGCTACAGGTATAAACGCGGACAGTTACGTTGTAAGCACTACTACTTGTTAGTATATTTTGTTCCTCTTTAACTTCTCATCCTTCACTTAGTTACAGTAGATTTTCTTACTGGGCCTGTGCGTTATAGATTCCCCCTTTTGGTTTGTGGTTAAAACCCTGAACATATCAGCATCACTCACAAAACTGCTAGAATCAGGTTCTCCGTTCACTCTCCTCTAGTCCAGTCTCTCGTCCTACGTCCAAGTTGACTGGGTTCTGGATCTGAGCTCGGGGCTGCCTTTGCCCCTTCCAGTAACCAAAGATGGCTGTGGCTGTCTGGGAGGAAAGAGATTCACTGCTTCTGATACACGTTTATTTTTGACATCATGAATGGGAGTGTCATTTTAAGGAACCATTTTCATAAAGCTTTTTTGAAAGTGACGTGTATGTGTGATGTTATGTATATTACATTAGGTCTTGTGGACATCGTAAATATATAATAAGATATTGTGGTCTGTAAAAAAGTGCCACCAAATCTTTCATAACATATTTGAAACTTGGAGAGCCCACTCATAAAAACTGTTTGGTCAGTTTTTTAAAGTAAACACTGACGTTGGTCTGTACCCCCACAGGGACAGTCATTCAATTCGTTCTTGGTAACCATTCTTCCCCTAGTTCTGTAGAAAGAAGCTCCCCCTAGTCTAACAAACACCAGTTCACAAACAGCCCGCTGCCTGGGGAACCACGAAGAAAAACATCCTCACACCGCCTGGATTTTTAAGATCCATTGGCTTAAGACCCATTTTGATTGACAGGCGCCTTCTTTTTGAAATACGTGCTTTGCTGAAGCGGGGGCAAGGACAGCATCCTTCACACGTTAGTGTGAATCAGTTGAGTCAGATTTATTTTTCTGAATTGTTGGTCAGGTGCTAAGGGAGTGGATGGGCCTTTTGATGAGGATTAAAGGGAACAGTAATTCTACAGCATGAGTCCTTCCGTGAGGGCAGAGGGCAGACTGGGCGGGGCCAGTCAGGATGGGGACCTGAAGGGCAGCAGGACAACAGGTGAGACTGGATGCCACGGAGGGGAGTAGAGAACAGATAAGTTTTACATAAAATACAATTTTCCCTCATCTCAGGTCATCATAAACGGGGGTCTTTGTGTCCATGAGTGTGCAAGGGAGGGACATTCAAGGTCATGTGGGATGTGGAACAGTTGTTTGTTGTGGGGCACTCTCCTGAGCTCAGCAGGACATCTGCCGCCTTTGACTCCAGCCCGCCAAACCTCCCTGCCACCTGTGAGCAGCCAGACGTCACCCTCACAGGGTTCCAGAACTGCCCCTCGTGAGAAACGCTGTTTTAGGCTCCTGGGTAGCCTGACCCTTTAATTACTGTTTCTGTCGGGAATTACTCGATGGGCCAAAAGGACTGGCACGTGTTTGGAACTGTAAACAGTCTAACTTGGGGCCACCGGGACCTTCAGTCACAAGGCACACTTCTTGTGGGGAGTTTGGAAATTGCCATGGAATTTTTGCCTTTGAAAGTGACATTTCACAGAAAGGTTTTAGAACTGACACAGTAAGTATCTTATACAGAAAGGTTGAAATCCTTCCATGTCTGTGCGGAGTTGTTTTGGCAATGTTGTGAGATGCTCACGTATAACTCTCTTTCCCTGGGGGCAGCCGGCAGAAAGGTGTTGTCCAAAACCCCATAGAGCTTCTTACTCCAAAGGAATGTGCTGTCTGTCTGGCAGTGGTTCTTAACCTGATGGCACCCTGTACACCTGCCTGAAATGCATCTTCCTGAGGCCCTGATGGCTGGAAGGGAGCAGGTCTGTGTGTGTCTGGCTGTCTCCCGGGAGTCTGACCGTTGCATCACAGGGTCCGTGGTGCTTCGGCAGGTATAGTGCTCTCAGCTGTCCCCAAGCTGCTGCTGAAGCTGCACGGGGGTCGGGGGCAGAGGCCTTGTGTCCACAGATCCCTCTATGCCGGGCACTTCTCTTGCCTGAGACTGTTGGAGTGATGGTTGTGTGTGGGGCTTGCTCATGAGCCTGGAGAATCTCACGGAAAGAAAACGCATCACAGGGCCTGAGCTTGAACCCCTGCCATGACACCAGCGTCCGTCTTTGTCAGCTGGCACACCCAGTTCTCTGGGCTGTGAAAGGTCCTTTCTGAGGCTGCACCTTACATTAGTAGCAGCTGAGTTCTTCCTGTCACAACCTCTTTCCATCCCACGTGTGGATTTCCTGGCAGACTCATTTGGAAGGGGTTGAGTAAGCCATCAGGCCTCCCTTGGCATCTCAGCCAGGGTTCAGTTTCTGAGGAGGTAAAAGCAGCTCATCGGGCATGGTTTCCTGCGACTCCCGGGCAGAGGCCTTGCAGCTCCTGGTGCTGAGTCTGCCTTTGGGGACCACCCACAAGCACCACGTTGGCTGTTTCAAGCAGCCATCAGATTCACAAATGGCGCTTTCCATTTTTCTCTGGTTCTCAAAGGTCAGATGTTTCTTTCTCTAACAAGCTATCACACTTTAATGATTAATGTAAAAACTGGTGCCAGTTACAGTGCCCAAAGCAAAGCAGTAATCCAGTGCGCACGTGAGGGCGGCTCCACCACTCCCTGTGCCCCTTGGAACCCACACCTGCTCACTCATGCTGCAGGACTCGTCTGAGCACAGCAGGGGGCAGTGCCCAGGCTTTGCCACCTGCCCTCAGGTAAGGGAGGGCCAGGCAGAGGTGCAGGACTTGGTTGGACTTAGAATCTGGGAGCCGGCTGCTGTCGGCCTTTGGTGGTTCAGTTTGGTGGTGCAGTTGAGCAGACAGCAGGCCTGGGCCCCAGGTCCCCTCAGGCTGGCTCTGTCCCCATCCTTTACTTTTTCTGATTGCTTGGCCGTCAGGTCTGGTTTTTGGTAAATGTTTCAAAGACAGACAGACAAAATTTCTGTTCCCTGATCAGTAACTTCATTCTGTTTTTGTCAAAGAATCTAAAACAGAGATAGTCAGGGTTTTTAAAATTTTCCAAAGCCTTAACAGATCATGGATGTTAGAGTTGTCCGAGTGTAGCTGGATTCTGGAAGCGCACGTCTGTGGCGGTGGAAGTTAGCTGTGGGCACGGTCTCATCTTACCTCCCCCAGAGGCTCAGGGCCCGCCTTTCACAGCGGGCCGTCCTCCTTTCAGCTTGTCTCAGCCAGCTTCCTGCTCAGCGTCACATGACCAGATCCTTTCCACTCAGCAGCTTTTGGCACTTACCCTGGTCCTTACCGTGACATGTTGGCAGTTTTTATGAAGTGAGTGTTGAGAGGGACGTAAGAGTGAAAGGTGTGGAGGGTGGCACACAGTGCAGTGCAGGCAGTGACCTGGGCTGGGGCCATGCTGCCCGCGGCTCTGGTGGTGCCCGCAGCTCCTGCATGGGGAACTCTGCAGCTTTCTCTCAGGCGGACACTACTGTGCGAGCGATGCAAACACTGGCGTCGTCCCTGCCGCCAACGGCTCTGTCTTGCTCTTCTCCCTTTTCCTCCCTCCCACGCCTCTCCCTGCCTCCAGATACGTCTACTCACACACGCCTACTGGCTCGCAGGGTTCTGTCTGGCCTTCCTGAAAACCAAGCGCCCAAGTCCTGGGTGACACTGGGCTGAGTTTGTGCGGATGTTGGAGAATGTTGACCAGTTTTGAGTTTTGTTTCCTGATTCGGCGAGTATGTATCCCTTGGTGGGACCTGTTTGAGGAGCTGTAGTGGTGCCTCCATGCCTGTGTTCAAGGCCTCCTGCTCAAGCCGCTTGTGTAATTGCCATCCAGCATTTTTGAATTCTTCCCCACGACAGCCTCCTAAGAGTTGGTGTGCTCTGTGGGCCCGAGGGGAAGGGCAGCAGATACAGACTTGTTCTGAATGTCCTTTGGTGGATTCTCACTGAAGGCATGTTTCTTACAGGTGGTCCCGACAACCAGGTCCACTTTGAAGGGTACCAGGTATCCAATCAGTGCATGGCGCTGGTCCGTGACGAGTGCCTGCTGCCGTGCAAGGATGCCCCCGAGCTCGGCTACGCCAAGGAGTCCAGCAGCGAGCAGTACGTGCCTGATGTGTTTTATAAGGTAAAAATGCAACGGTGGGAAGGTGTTGAGTAGCTGGAGAACGGTGTGGACACTGGACGCCTAGGACCTGACTGGCTGTCGGTCCGCCGTGGTTGTTTAGCTCCCAGCTTGTGGATGAGGGATTCCACAGCACTCCCAGGCTTGTTGTCATTAGACTGCTGTGATGTTAGTGCTTCCAGCCAGAAGCGGAAATAGTGTCCAGCCAGAAGCGGAAATAGTGTACAGGGCCCGGTACGTAGAACACCACACCAGACCGTCGCAGCACACACACAGCTTCAGCTTCTAAAAACGAGAAGATGGTATATGCCAGAGCCTCCCCAGGGGTAAAGAGTGGAGCTGTAGGGGCAGGATCTAGGCACTCCTGAGCGGTACAGAAGTTTCAGCTAAAATTGAGACAAACAGTTGTCCATCCTTAAGTCTGTTTCTTGTGACAGCTATAAAAACTCTTTTTATTGACAGTTCTCGGGGTTGGACACGTAGGTGTTGGGTGCTTCCCGGCAGGACCAGAGACACTGCCGGTCTCACCGCAGCTCGGGACATGTTCCCAGTCATAACTGGGCACCTGGCCCCACCTGCCGCCCGGAGGGCTCCTTGATATCACACCACAGGCAGCTTCTGTATGTCGGAAAGTAGTTTGTCTGCATTTTTGAAGGACCTTTTCTAGGTTGACAGGTTTGCTCCACTGTCGCCTGACTCAGTGTTTCTAGCTGGAAGTCTGCTGTCACCATCATGTGTCCCTCTGTCCAGACTGTGACCTTTTCCCACGGGCTGACCCGTCCTCTCTGATCACTGGGTTTTAGCACTTCGGTCACAAGTGCCTGGTGGCTTTACTCATGTATCCTGTGTTTGGGCTTTGGTGAGCTTCTTGGGCCTGTGGTTTGATGGTGGTGTTTTGGGGCCGTCGTGTTCATTTTCTCTGGAGGCCAGAACCAATGGCTGCATACGAAGCGGCTGTAAAACAACGCTCGTGTCTCGCCTCACACTCTGTGCTCAGGGGTCTGGGCAGAGCTCGGCTGCGTTCTCACTCTGGGCCGTCCAGGCTGCTGTCGTGAGTCAGCTGGAGCTTGATTCCATGAGGCGTGGGATGTACTGGCAGCGTTTAGCTTCTTGGCGCCTGGCCCCCTGGCAGCTCCTGGAATGGCAGTTTGCTGCTGCTCCCCTCAGCCTCGCAGGAGTGCCTGTCTTGCTGGCTGCTGCTGCCAGCAGAGCCTTGAAAAGGCCTCTGTTCTTTGTGTTGGCCCACCCAAGTGACCCCGATTTTAAGGCTGGTTGATTAGTAGTGACCTCGATTACAGCTGAACAGTCCCCTTTGCCTGTTAAGGGACCGTAGTCATGGGCATGGTTTTTCATCACGTTCCCAGTCCTGGGGAGTAAGGCGGGAAATACCTCAGGGCTGCTTTTAGAATTCTGCGTAGGATAGCCACCCAACCAAATGTTCCTAGTAGTGGCTTTCTGGCACGGGCAGGGCCTGAATTCTCAGCCTCACGTGCAGCCAGGGTTGAAAAGAGCCCTAGGCAGGAGAGAGCTTTTAGTCTCCAGGTCACTGATCACTCTTCCGGGTTTCGCTGGTTGCCTGTTCTGTTTCCAGGCCCCTTCCGCCTGAGGACATGAGACAAACGGCCCCAGTGCTCAGCCCTCCAGGCAGCTCAGCAGAATGGTGTCTGGTGGGAATCTGGCTCAGCCCAGCCCCACCTTCGCGGGCATCCTGCAGCGTCTGTGAGTCAGCGGAGAGCAGGCCTTCCGTCCTGCATCAGCGGACGCCCTGGCCGGCTGCGTGCTCGTCTCTGGACAGTCCCCACCCAGGAGTTTAGTCCACTTAGTCCTCGTTCATCTTTGTTGCTTCCACAGCTCTCTAATTCATTTTAAAATGTTTTTATAATTTTTTTCCCCTTGTTTGTGGGAGCGGTGACCTGCCATGACCTGTCGTATCCCATTAGGAAGGGGAAATCCAAGTATCTTTTCAACATTTTTGCCCACAGCTGAAATCCTTTGTTGTTCCTGACCATGTTTCTGTTCTGGGGTCTTCCTTGCAGTCCTTTATAGCTGAGAAGGAGCTTGCTTCGATCCTGATAAAAGGCTCTAGCTGGCCTGTAGGCACACAGTAGGACCCCCAGGGATTGTCATGGCTGGCTTCCAACATGGCTGCCTGCTTTCTAGGGTCTTTATAGGTGTTTCTTATATCCTCACAGCAGCCACAGGGTGAGGTTTCATTGTGATTGCTGTCATTGTCATCCTTCCTGTTTTCCAGTTGAGGAAATAGAGGCTTGCAGAGGGTCACATAGCTGGTGATGGGGAGAGGGTGACAGAGAGGGATGGGTAGGGGCAGGTCTGAGACTTTGAGGAGCCCTCATGGCGCTGTAAACACTTAAAATCATAACATTCAGTTTGAATGTTTTAGTTGCCTAGTGAATGGAAAATTCTAGAATGGATAAAAACCTTGTTTGGTGAACCTAATGCCCTGCATGAAACCTGCCCCAAAGATTTCCCTCTTAACTGTCTCTACTGACTAATCATGATTCATTCTAAAATTGTTTTTGTTGTGAAATAGCCTACATGTAAAAGTCCATAAAACACGTAAACAAAAGTAGTAAACATGCGCTTGTCTTTATCCGTGAGAAGCAGAACACGACCCGCACCACAGGAGCCCCTAGGAGCCCTCCCTGAGCTGTTCGTCATCCCTGCTCATCTGACTATTTTTACCAGATATGTCCTCGTATGCCTTTTTTCAAACTGCATTTAAATGAGATGCCCTTGCTTTTCTTCGGGAGCCCTGACTGTTCTTGGCCCTTTACTCCACGTACATTTTATTTTAAGATTTTATTGAGGAATTGTTGAAGGGAAACAGCGTTGGGGAATCGGGGAAGGGGAACAAACAAGTTGCTGTCCTTTTGTTCTTCAGTCTAGTTGTGGAGGACGTCGCTTCACTGGCCCATGTTGGTATTATCATTGCACTCTTCCCTGGTGAGGCAGTCGCTTGCCGGCTATTGGACGGCCACTTATGGTGGCTCTTGGCAGCTCATGCTGGCTGCCGACCGCTCATGGTGGCTCATGAAAGCTCATACCAGCTCCCGGCCAGCCCCACTGCAGCTTTACTGCAGCCTACCTACGCTGTCGCCAGTGACTCATGGCAGCCCAGCTCCATGTCGAGCTGTTGTTCACCATCTTAGCTGTAGAAGGCGCAGCGTCACTGGCCCTCATGTGGGATCTGAACCGGGGCCCTGCTGCTCAGAGCTGGCATCCCAAACCAACTCTTTTTTTTTTTAAAGATTTTTTTGGGGAATTGGGGGAAGAGGAATAGGCAAGTTGCTATCCTTTTGTTCTTCAGTCTAGTTGTGGAGGACGTTGCTTCACTGGCCCAAGTTGCACCATCATTGCGCTCTTCCCGGGCGAGGCAGATCAGTCGCCGGCTTCTGGACGGCCGCTCACGCTGGCTTCTGGCTACACATGGTAGCCCATGGCAATCCACCTGCCGTCACTGTTGACTCACGGCAGCCTAGCTCCAGGTTGAGCTGTTGTTCAGCATCTTAGCTGTAGAGGGCAGTGCCACTAGCCCTCATATGTGGAATCCGAACTGGGGCCCTCTGGCATCCCAAGCCAACTCTTAACCAACATGCCACTCAGCCGGCCCCTCTACATACATTTTAGAGTTGCCATGCAGGCTGCACCCAAACAGACAGGTCTCCTTAGGGTTTCTTTGACCCCATTTCTGTGCAGGTCCCCCTCCGAATGTGGAGTACTGCGCTGTGTTGTGTCCTTTAATGACTTTCACATGAAGGTCTGGCCCATCATTATTAGATTGCTCCTCCATGTTACAGGTATCATGTCTTTATTTATTTTTATTATTTTGTTTTTTTAAAGATTTTATTGGGGAATTGGGGGAGAGGAACAATATTGGGGAATCGGGGAAGGGGAACAGACAAGTTGCTGTCCTTTTGTTCTTCAGTCTAGTTGTAGAGGACATTACTTCACTGGCCCATGTTGGTATTATCATTGCGCTCTTCCTGGGTGAGGCAGATCGGTTGCTGGCCCCTGGATATCGGCTCACGATGGCTCTTGGCAGCTCATGCCGCCTGTAAGCCACTCACGCCAGCTGCCAGCTACTCACGATAGCTTACGGCAGCCCACTGCAGCCTCACTGCAGCCTACGCTGTCGCTGGCGACTCAAGGCAGCCCAGCTCCAGGTCGAGCTGTTGTTCACCATCTTAGCTGTAGAGGGCAGTGTCACTGGCCTGCATGTGGGATCCGAACCGGGGCCCTGCTGCTCAGAGCTGGCGTCCCAAGCCAGCTCTTAACCAACGTGCCACTCGGCTGGCCCGGTATCATGTCTTTAAAATTATGTTTTCAAACTGTTGCTGTTTGAAACTGGTACGCTTGTGTTTGGAGCAACTGTGCTATTGGTTACTTGTTCCTCTAATTTATATATATATACACACACACACACATTCACATACACACACGCTGACATTCACACACATACACAACCTCTCTCTCTCTCTCTCTCTCTCTCTCTCACTCTCACTCACACTCACACACTCTTTTGGGTTTTGTACACAGACAAGCATCTTACCCAGAAGTGACAGTTCTGCTTATTCTTTTCATTCATCCTGGCCCCTCGTGCTGGCCAGGCTTTCAGAACAGTGTCCAGTGTCCAGCATTTTTGTCCTGTTTTTAAGCATAATGGAAATGCTTTCACGATTTCATCATTAGCTAGGAGTTTGCTGTGGGCTTTTCGAGTTTTTTATTTAATTTATTTTTTTAAGCTGAGCCATCCTGCTACCTGTTGGCAGCTCAGCAGCTGCTCAGCTCGGGCTGGGAATCGAACCGCTGTTGCTCAGAGCTCAAACACTTGAGCAAGCTCTTAACCAACTGATCCACTCGGCCGGCCCTTGAGTTTTTTTGTATTACCCTTTTTCAGGTTTGAAATTGGCATTTTATTTCTGTCTTGTGAGTTTCTTGCACTTGGCCATGGGAGCCGTGTTACTTCCTTGATCATGCGTCAT